TGCCCCATGCGATGTTCATGATTTCATCTGTACAAAAAGGTAAAAATACTCTGTTAGCTGTAGCCAAAATTGATGATTAGTGGTGTGTGTGATGAGTGTTTATAAAAACTGTTGAGATACAAATAAATATTTGTCCTGGATTTGGCCAGGGCAGGGTTAATTTTCACCGGACTCCAGGAAGGCCGGGGGGTGGGGGCTGACCCCACCTGACCAAACAGAGCCCGGTATTCCATACCCTGTGATGTCACGCTGGGTTCCGGTGGTGGTGGGGGGCGGAGCGGCGGGGAGGAGGGGCGGCCGCGTGGCGCTTTTGTTGCCGGCGGCAGCCGAAACCAAGACAATATTTTTTTCCAATGACACTTAAATTTTTTAAAATTATTTTCTGAATCATCTGAAAATGTTTACCTGTAAAGATTTTATTTTTTTCTTTTTTTGTCAAATATGTAGAAGTTGGATATGTTCTTTAGGATCTTCGTAAATATGTCAGCTAGCAGCTTTTTTCCTCATAGGTTTTTCTTCTTGCAAGAGGTCTCGCAGTAGTCCACATGGGTAGTTCTGGAGCTTGCTTACAGTTTTGCTGCTCTTCTGTGATCCTTTTTTTAAAGTAGGTGGATACGGAAATACCAGTATCCTCACGTGGATATGGAACGCTTGCTCTTCCAGCCTGACCTCTTCTTTCAACCTTAGCACTGCAAAGCAAGCAAAATTGAGGTAGCTCCATCACTGGGAGTAATCGAAAGAAGTCTTAGTGTATTTAAACTTCAGTATATTTAACTAAAATTGTATTTAAATGAACTGATTAGAATGTTTACCCTGTGTGTGTCTGTAGAGATAGTCTATATAAACACGTGTGTGTGTGTGTGTGTGTGTACACAAACAAAACCCCAAAACAGGCAGAAAATTAAATGAAGACTTTAGGATTCTGCCGCCTGATCTATTTTAGGGGGAAAAATGTGCAGAGGATGAAAATACATTGAGGGTTGATAATAACCTTTCTAATTCTCACAAGAAGTAACAGACATCCAGGTACCATAATTCTGATGTTTATATTTAATTACTTAAACCAGTAGTGTGTTCAGAAATTGCAGTCAGTCTGCCTCTTCCCTCTTGCCAGTAATCAAAAGCCCTAAAATGGAGTGAACACTTCAAGAAGGTGCTTGATGGGGAGAGGAAGTCATGAAATAGATTAGATTAAAATTCACTTGATAGCAGTAAACACTGTTTTGTCACTCTTTCACTTAATGATAGAAATAAGTGTTTTGAAATCTTGTCTCTTGTGGATTTTCATTTACATAGTATTCATTCTTAGAGAGTACTGTATTTGGTAGCTTCGTTTTGTTTGAATTCATTTTTTTGTCTTTTAATAAAAAGTGCAATGCTGTAAACACTAGTCTGAGACAGAAACCCAAGATTCTAGTTATAATTTTATGGTGCAGAAAAAAAAATTTGACTTCAAAAAGCCTACAGCTTGATGTTTATTTCTGAACCATTTTCTAAGTTACGCGGTATGACAAGTCAGAGAAGCTGCAGTCTTCTGACTGCCCTGCATCACTGTCTTGCAGTGGCAGAGCATGTTGGGGATGAAGTGCTTGTGTGAGAGGAGGCCTGATTTTGTCAGATGCTATCTGGTATATGTAAGAATGCAAATTGTTAATGTATGAGTGTTCTGAGGACAGTGTTTTTTGTGTGACAAGCATTTTGGTGTCTCAAGTTGTCTGTACTCGTATGAATCTTTGGCTGCAGGTGCGCTTGATGCAGTCAGAAGAAGAGACAATGTAAGTACGTTGCAACTAGGCAGAAAATACAGACAGAATGATGGTGACAGGAACTTTTAAGACTTGAATGTAGCGATCTTACTACAGTTCTAAAGTTTTGTGTTCTCCAAAACACTGGAATAGAGTATAAGCAGCAGTTTAAAGGCATGCCAAGGAATTGTTTGAATTTTAAAAAGCTTATTAATGCTGACCTTGAGTAGAGATTTTATCTTAATTCTTACCCTGCTGAACTGTAGAAGAAATTTTAAAATCTTGTTTTGCAATTAACTGGCAAAGTAGGGGTATCCATTCTAATGAAATGTTGGGTAAAAAAAAAATCAAAACTTTAGGATTGGGAGAATAAGAAATTTTGCCTGAAATTACTGCCTCAAATTTTAAGTAAAAAAAAAAAGCAGTTTCTGTCAGCATTAAATTACTTTTTCTGGTTAGGGGTTTTTTTGTTGCTGAGTTTTTAATTCCTGTCTGCTACATCTAAAACTGAGGTCAGTTTGTTCATGTGTCATTTCTGATTTACCTTTTTTTTTTTTCCTAATTTTTAAACCTAATTCTGAAATTGTTTTGGATTTGAATAATGAAACTTGTCAGTAACAAGACAGAAAGCAATATTTTTGAGACTCAAAAGTTTAGCAAAAGAATTAAGAAATTCACCTGTGTTGTATTTTTGCAAAGTGGATAGTGTCTGAGCAAGACTGAATTAGAGGT